TATAAACCATGGAACCCTGAGTTCCATCCCCAGCATGAAGTTCAGCTTTCCAGAACAAAGAGAGAAGTTTACCCCTTTCAAAATATGCCTGTTTCCTCTTGACTTTCTTCCCTACCAAGTCCCCGCTGTTCTGTAATGACCACCTCACTTCCTCAGGCCGCTTGTGAACCAGGTTCCCCTCTGGGTCCTCATTATGTTTTAACACTCAGCATGCTCACCCGCACCGCCCCAGTGCCTCCCCTGCTCAGCCTTCCTGAGACTGACCGTCCAACCTGGGTGAGACCAACCCTCTGCCCCACCTGTGCACCCCACACTGAGGCTCCTGAGAGCTCTGGATGCTGGGAGATTCATGGTCTCCCCTTGGGGTGGTGGCCCCTTGGGGACAGAGTCCAGGTCTGCTGTGCTGACCTCACTGTGCAAGGAGGGTGTGTCCACTGTGGCTGCTGAGCAGGGGAGGGGAGACTGTGGCTCACGTGACTGGGCCTCTCCATCCATCCTGTCCCTGGGTCCCACCCCAGACTCCGCAAATGTCGATGGCCTCAGGGGTGACTTGGGGGTCTGGTCAGAGGCGACCCATTTTCACACTGCAGAAAATGTCACCCAAGGGGAAAGATATCAGCAGGGAGGGAGGCGATGGGGTTGGTCCCTGCATGGGGTGAACTGGGGAGAATCTCTCGCCCCTCTGGCTCCAGGATCCCAGGAACAGACTTGGGTGGTGGGTGGCTGATCTCCAAGGGCTGCCTAGGCCCTGGCGCTGGCAGGTCTGAAACTCCTCCCAGGAGGAGGCCCCCATGCTGACCTCACCCCTTCTTCCTGTGGGGCCTCCTGCAGGTCCTGCAGCTCTGGGTTCCTCAGAGTAGAGGCTGGAGGAGGAGCAGACTCCCCTGGGTGGACCCGCAGCTCCAGATCGACATGCTGCTGCTGCTGCTGCTGCCTGTGCTGCTGCTGCTCTGGGTGCAGGAGGGGGTGTGGGGAGAGGCTTACTCCTTGAAGGTGCAGAGCCCGGTAACGGTGCAGGAGGGCCTGTGTGTCCATGTGCCCTGTGAGTTCACCCACCCCTATGAAGACCAGACTGAGTTGGACGCAGCTCACGGCTACTGGTTCCGGGAAAAGGCTGGGTTTACAAGACAGACTGTTGTGGTGGCCACAAATGATCCAAGTCAACCGGTGGAGAAGGAAACCAAGGGCCGATTCCACCTCACTGGGGATCCGCGAGCCAACAACTGCTCCCTGGACATCAGAGACGCCCAGAAGAAGGACGAAGGGTCATTCGTCTTTCGGATGGAGAGAGGACGGAAACGATACAGTTACATAGCATACCCGGTCTCTGTGCGTGTGACAGGTAGGGCCCGGGCTGCAGTAGCAGCCAGAGGGAAAGACAGGGCTGCGGGCAGAGCTGGGATGGACCCGCCCCTGGGAGGGTTTAGGGGTTAAGTTTTAGGGCTCCGGGGAGCAGGGGCCAGGCCTGGGCTTCCCTCAAGGCCACCTCAGAGCCTCCGTCCTGATCCTGGGGTCCCCTCTCCTCCCAGCCCTGACCCACACCCCCGGCATCCTCATCCCGGGGACCCTGCAGCCCGGCCGCCCCAGCAACCTGACCTGCTCTGTGCCCTGGGCCTGCGAGCGGGGGACGCCCCCCATCTTCTCCTGGGCGGGCGCCTCTGTGTCCCACCTGGACCCCGCGGTCACGAGCTCCCCCGTGCTCACCCTCACCCCGCGGCCCCAGGACCACGGCACCGCCCTCAGCTGTCAGGTGACTCTGCCCGCGGCCAGTGTGACCACGAGGACGACCGTGCAGCTCAACATCTCCTGTGAGAGCTGGGCGGGAAGGCGGGCTGGGGACGGAGAGGGCTCCGGGGCGGGAGAGGGGCTGGGTCCGGGCTGGGCGCCGGTCCTGGAATCTCGGGGCTGGGGCAGGGGCCGGAGGGCGCAGCCTCCCCCCTCCCGCCTCTGCAGCCCCTGGGGCGGAGGGCCGATGTTCCCGCCTCGCCACGGCCACCGACGGCCCTGCCTTGTCTCTTGCCCCAGACGCTCCGCGGAACCTGACGGTAACGGTGGCCCCCGGAGCAGGCGCAGGTGCGGCGGGCGGGGCCTCCGGGGCGGGCGGGGTGGGCGGGGACGGGGCCTGCGCACCCTGGAGGCGGCCTGGTCAGAGACCCCTTGTTGGGGAACCCAGTGGCTCCTCCCCACCCACGGCCCCACCGGCCTCTCCCTCCCTCAGACTCCTGCACAGATCCCTCGGCCCCGCAAGGATGGGGCGACTCGCACGCAGCGGAATTGAACTCTCCAGGCCCCTCCTCGCCCCTCCGCTGGATCCGCCTCCACCCTTCTCTCTCTCTCTATTCCCCCAGTAGCTTCCATCCAAGTGCTGGTGGAGGGAGACACACACGCACGCACACGCACGCACGCACACACGCACTCAGAACGCAGCAGTCTGTCCCAGGAGTGACCGTGACTCCCAGGCTGCGCTGACCCTAGCCTGTCCCCCTGAGGTCAGAGAGGGCACCGCGGTCCCTGGCGCACACGGCCCTGCTTCTCTGCGCTCCGCGGGCCTCTCCTGCCAGTGGACAGCCGTGGCACTGATCGCATGGTTCGGACAGAAATGTGTGTCTACTTCCATACGAGTGCGGGTGTCAGTGTGTCAGCTCCTAAGTCTGAGACACAGCCGGGTCACCGAGAGCGAGGGTCGGGTGGCCCGGTACTGCTGTGACAGGCTTACATGCCTGCCCTCACGGGCGGAAGTGCGTGTCTCCCTGTGCTTCAGTCCATGTCCGTGAGTCTGTGCCTCTCTCTGGACTCCAGCGCCCTTCTTTCTCTCGGTGTCTCCGTCGCTCAGGCCCTCTGCGTCTTCTCCGCAGCACCCACAGCCCTGGCGAACGGCTCCTCCCTTCCAGTCGTGGAGGGCCAAGCTCTGCGCCTGCTCTGTGCGGTCGACAGCCACCCCCGTGCCAGGTTGAGCTGGTCCTGGGGGAACCTGACTCTGTGTCCCTCCGAGCCCGCGAACCCTGGGGTACTGGAGCTGACCCCAGAGCATCTCAGGGGTGAAGGAGAATTCACCTGCCGAGCGCAGAACGCTCTGGGCTCCCGGCATGTCTCGCTGAGCCTGTCCCTGCAGGGTGAGTGACGGGCGGGCTGCGGAGGGGCTGGAAGACGACACCTGCCCCTGACAGCAGCCCGCACAGCCGCCTGGCGGGGTGGAGGTGGAGGTGCCCCTGCCCTGCTCTGCTGTGAGGCCAGAATCTCCCTCGCCCAGAGCCTTGCCGCCTTCTCCCTGTAGGACGAAGGCATGGGACAGGGCGAGGCTGGGAGCCGAAGGGCAGGGTGAGCAGGTGGCTCTTGGAGGAGAGGGGCTGGATCCTTTTGGGATCCACAGAATTACGGAGGAAACGAAAGCAACAATCAAACAGGACTACCATGAAAACAGAAACCTCAGCATATCAAGTGAAATAGTCACAATATTAGGATGCCAACAAAGGAAAAGTGATTGCAAAATATATCCCACAATGAACAGAATACCAGATTTTAAATAAGGGCAAATGGCAGGCAGCATTTACATGCCTGGCTCTCCTCCCCTAGTCCTGCCCTGGGCCCTTTCTCCCCCATTCTCCTTTCCAGGAAAGAGGGAGGAAAGCAGAAGTCCAGGGTCCCCTGGGGAGTGTGTGTGTGGGGGGTTCTCCCCGGTGAATCAGCAAACAGTTCCCTCCATCATCAGATAAACAGGGGCTTCCACAGAGAGGGTGGGGAGTGACCGGAGTGACGCTGGGGGCCTTCGTGGGAGCTGGAACCACAACCCTGCTTTTCCTGTCCTTCTGCATCATCTTGGCCATGTGAGCGCTGGCTGGGAGAGGGGACCCTCAGAAGGTGGCAGGCCCAGGGCCCGAGGGACTGAGGCCAAGGCAAGCAGTCAGGAGCTCAGGGACTTAGTTGCCTTTTGTTGTTGTTGTTGTTTTGGTACTGGGAATTGAACCCCGGGCCTTTGCACTGAGCTACATTCCCAGCCCCCCTGCCCCCCGCTTTATATTTGAGACAAAGCCTCACTAAGTAGCTAAATTGGCCAGGCTGGTCTCAAACTTGTGGCCATCCGGCCTCAGCCTCCAGACTCCGTCATCAGCACCACGCCTGACTGAGTGTGCCCTCTAATTCAGGGCCTCCAGGACGAGGCTGCCCTCTCCGGCTTCAGCCACCCCTCCAGCACCTGAATAGGAAAAGAGTGGGGGTGGCGGGCTGCCCCACAACAGGGACCCTCATTGGGCTGAAAGGCCCCCTGATGTCTTCACTCAGATCATGGTCCTGGAGAAAGAAATCTGCGAAGCCAGCAGCGAGTGCAAGGGATCCAGATGCTGCTAGTGGCTCAGTCTCACAGGTGAGTGACTCAGGAGTGTCCACTCCCAGCACCCTGCCCGCCAGGACACCTCCTCTGCAGTGGCCCTCAAGACTGCTCCACAAAGCACTGCCCAAGGCCCCTCCCCCTCCTGCCCATTGAGCCCCCAACTGCCAAGTCCCCATCTTGCTGATCTCAGACAACTCCCACCACCCCAGTTCCCCACGCCACGCAGGAGCAGGGAGCCACCTCCTCTCTGTTCTCCCTCCTGTCACAGCCAAAATGTCACTGTGTGGTGTCCCTTCTTTCTCCTCAGCAGCAGCATCTGTGTCCTCCCCTTCTTGACCTCATCTTTGCAGAGAACACAGGACCCCTTTCTTGGACCTCCTCAACTCCCCTGTCCCCCACCCACGTGATCCTCCAAAAGCCAGCACAGCACAGTTCTGCTGCATCTGACATGTGTTTGCCACCCCACACCCATTGTAAAGGGCTGGGTAGTAACTATTTTTGGCTTTGTGGACAATACAGGCAGCTCTTGGAGCTACTGAACTGTGCTACTGCAGCAGGAAAACAGCCAAAGACCATATGTCTGTGATGAGTATGACTGTGTTCCAATAAAACTTTATTTATAAAAACAGGCAGTGGGCTGAATCGGACCCAAGGGCCGACCTAAAGAATACAGCCAAACTGCTTAGTCCACAGCCCCACTGTGCTGTGGGATTCAGATCACCCAGCTCTCCACCCAGGCTGGAAGTAGGGTCAGGTGAGTGAGGTGCTTGCCTGACATGCGCAATTTAAGGAATAAGCTATATTCCCAGCCCCTTATTTTTAAGTTTTTATTTTAAAGTGGAGACTTGGTCATTCACCACGTCACCCAGGCTTGGCTTGAACTTTCAGTCTTCTTACTCAGCCTCCTAGAGTGCTGGGATTATAAGCATGTGTCACCACACTCAGCTGTTTTTCCATAGTGACTACACCAGTGTATGTTCCCACCAAGGGTACGAAAGGGTTCTCATTTCTCCACATCCTCGCCCACACTTGCCAACTTCCATCTTGTTTTGTTTCATATTACTTTCTGAATAGCAGCCATCCTAATGAATGTGAGGTGATATTTGTTTATGATTTTGATTTTTCATTTCTTGAAATAATTAGTGACATTGAGCATCTTTTCATATGCTTACTGGCCATTTGTATATCTTTTTGGAAGAATCTCTATCCAAGTTATTTGCCTATTTTTCCAATCAGGTGATGTGGTTTCTGTTGTTGAGTTGTAGGAGTTCTGTCTATATTCTGTTTGGGGCCCTTGCCAGATGGATGGCTTTCAAGCATTCTCTCTCATTCTACTTGTGATGCAGCTGGGTCCAGAGTCGGCTACTTGGTTGCTGCAGAGGTGCAGGGAGGAGCAGGTGCAAACATTCAGAAACAGGAGGCTGACCAGTGAGTAGAGGAGGGAACAACCAGGAGGAACATGTGGCAAGAGAACAAGGGCTGACCACAGGAAACGAGTTTGGAGAAGTCAAATGTGTACAAATCGGGTCTGAACATGCAGGCTGCAGAACTCTGAGCAGAACAAGGGAATATCCTACTTTCACTTTCAAGGATTCCTCTGGCCACCGTGCAGACACTGTGTAGCCAAGGAAGGGCAGAGGCAGGGAGGTTAGAACGAGGCTGGTGAAGCATTCCTGGCAGGAGGCAATGATGCTGGCTCCAGGGCTGGCTTCTGGGTGGTCCTCGAGATTAAGGCATAGGCAAAGTGCTGTGGGCAGAGAGTGGGTGAAGAACAGGGGAGGATGAAGAGTGAGTCCTAGGCAACTGTGCTGCACAGCTAGAAGAACGGAGGTGCCAACCCTGGAGGTCAAGAGGAGTAGGAGAAAAAGAGATGTTCGGTCTGAATGTGTTGAGTTTTGTGTGCATTTGGACAAGGGAGTGGGAGTTTCAAGTATAGATGGTCCCCATTGCATGATGTTTCTACTTAGGATTTTTCAACTTTACCATTATGCATTCAGCAGAAAGAACAGTTCAGATTTTCAGTTTTTATCTTTTCTGGGGCCAGTGATATGAGATACAGGACTCTTGAGATTCTGGGCAGCGGCAGTGAACCACGGCTCCTAGGCAACCACAAGATCACAAGATAATAACCACCACTCTGCAATAGTTCATGTTGTTTTGGATACAGATATTTGATCATTACCTGAGCTGTTCAACACTTTTAGGAGTTGTCAGCAATTTCATAGAGCTGTTCTGTTTTTAAGGGGTGTGGCAGGGAAGGGCATCATTGAAGGGGATGCCTGCCAGGGAGGCTCCATCCCTTACCCTATGTGAGTCTGTATTAGGTTCCTGGTGCTGCTGTAACAATTTGCCACAGATATCCTGTGTACAATAGTAAACATGCATTATCTTACACTTCTGGAGGTCACAAGTCCGACATGAATTCCATTAGGTAAAATCAAGAAGTTGGCAGGTAGGGCTGGCTCACTCCAGAGGCTCCAGGCAAGAATCCGTTCTCCTTCATTTCTCCTCTTCTGGAGGAAACCTGGTTTCCTTGGCTCAGGGGCCCATCTTTCATCCGCAAAGCCACTAGTGTAATATCTTCCAATCTCTCTGTCCTCTTTTCACTTGTGAAGACCCCTTATGATCACATTGGGCTGGCCCAAATAATCTGGGATCATCTCTCTATCTCCACGTCCCTAACTTAACTTTATCTTTAAAATCCCTATTCCTGGAAAATAGATGAATCTGGAGACCATCACGTTGAGTGAAATAAGCCAAAGTCACTCAGAAAAATAAACATCATGTGTTGTCTGTAATATGTGGAATCTAAAAGAAATGACAAGAAAGTAGAAGGAAGACTATTGTCAGACAAGAGGAGGAGGATAAGGAGGGGGAGGAGACTGTATGGGCAGGTAATGGGGGGGTGGATATGATCAAAATATATACAGCAAAACCTCTTCCCTGGTGGGCGGTAAAGGGTGTGATGAGAGGATGAAAATGGTCAAACAACGTTATATGCTCATAGGAATCTACAAAATGAAACCTATTAATCTGTACAACTAATTTTGAAAAAGAGTACAAAATAAGTCCCTCTCACCTTGAAAGGTGACACATTTACAGGTCCCACAGGTTCCCGGGTGTGGACACTTCTGGGTGCCATCGTTCTTCCTATCAGAAGGATGCAGTTTCTTTGTCGGCTTCCCTACCCCCCATCAAACTTCGAGCTTCCGAGGGCAGGTGCCATGTCTGAACCAAGGCGCCGCCTCCCTCACCCTGTTCTTGGCCATTGCAATCCACAATTAGATACTTGTCTGAGTACTAATTTATTGCCACCACCTCAGCTAACAAGTGGGCTGCAAGAGGTCAGGTCGTCTGTCTGCCATGTCTGCCGTGGTATCTCCAGTGCCCAGCTCAAAATCCCACACATGGGGAATGCTGGGATTGGAGTCCGAAAGAAGTGGATCCAATCCTGGATTTACCAGGAAGTTTGGGCATCCTACTTACTGATTTCAACCCTGTTTTCACATCTATAAACTGGAGACAACCAATATCTTCTTCATGGAGTCATGAATGAGCCTAGGTGCTCATTCTGCATTCAATGTTTGAAGAAAGCACAAATGACAGAGATCGAAACACAAATGCACATGGAGGGTGGATGAGAGAACTCATGGGTTTCCACCAGGACTCTGCCCTTCCTGTCCACACCACCCTGCCCTGATTTCCTTCTCTCTGCCTCACACAGGGTCCCCTGGTTGAATCCCAGCCAGATGACAGCTCCTCACACCAGCCTCTCCCATCTGTGGCTGCCCTCTCCTCAGAGGAGGAAGAAGAGATCCACTATGCATCCCTCAGTTTCCATGGGGTGAAGCCCAGGGACCCGCAAGAGCACCAGAGCATCACCAGTGAGTACTCGGAGATAAAGTTCCACGAGTGAGAAGACCCTGAGGTTGGTCCTGGTTGGAGAGGTCATGGCCCCTCTGGGCTGAGGAAAAGTCAGGTCATGTAGAAGGAAGAATCCTCTGAGTCAGCCGTGGACTGTGCATCCAGAGCCTGTCCTCAGCAATGCTGAAGCTGTGCTGCTACTCTGCATCTCCCCTCTCCCTCCACCTGGCCCTGCAACCTCCCATAGTTACCACTCTACATCTATGAGTTCAACTTTTTTAGGGTTCACACATGAAAGAGATATGCAGTTCCTGTTTCTCTGTGCCTGGATCAATTCATTTAACATAATGTCCTCTAGGCTCATGCACATGGTTGCAAAAAGCACAATAATGTATTGTAAAGAGAAGGTGTTAAATGTTCTGCCTAAGGAATGATAAGTATTTGAGGTGATAGGCTAATTAGCCTGATTTGATCATTCCTCAAGGTGTGAATTTATTGAAATATCATATTGTGCCTCAAAAGGCATATATAATTATTATTTGTCCATTAAAGTGAAACTTTAAAGAATCCCTGTAGGTGATAAGCTATAACTATAGTGAGAGAAGTTGATAAGTTATAACTTTAGTGAAAGTGCACAGGCTTTCGAAGCACTCCTAGTTTGAATCCACATTCTACCCTCTTATGAAGTAAATGACAGACAAATCCCATCTCTCTGTGCCTCAGTTTCCCACTCTGAAAAATAGGGATTAGAAGCCCTCCTTCAAGGTGAGAAAGACAGGGAAAAAAATCCCACCATAGCTCCTGGCACAGATGGGGCTGAGCACACGTTGGATCTGGATCCTGTGCTTTGAACAGAGGTGTCCTGCTGGGCGTTCTCCCTCTGTCTGGAAATGGCCAGTTATCTTGTGTTGATGCCACTTGCCTACAAATAGCTATTTCACAGCTTTTGCAAAAGTGACCTCAGCCTGTGAATCAGATCTGTGCAGCATCTAGGCCATGTTCTGCTTCTCTCTCTTTCCTCTCTCTCTCCCTTCAACCTTGAGGTCTTCTGGTCTTCCTTGGTCTCTGCATCTTGCAGGTAGTCCAGAGGGGATCATTTGGACACCCAGAGCTCTCTCTGCTGTGCTTAGCATTCACTCATGGCTCCTTGCTCCTGAACAACCCCTCCAGCTTCCTCATGGCCTCACTCCTCCATCCATGCTGCCTGCTGATCCTTCTGGTCTTCCTAAGCCATTTTCAGGGTGCTCTGCTGATTCATACCTCAGTCCTTGATACTGAGGTCCCTCCTCCTAGAATGTCTTCCCACTGAGCCTCCAGCTGCCTCTGCATCTGGAAGTGGAGCTGGAGGAGTGGCCTCTGTACTGAGATGAGGGAGGGAAGCAGCAGCTCATGGTCTCCCTGCTCTTGAGCCAAACCAAGCAAATGAGAAAAGTGTCCCCCTCAAATCTCAGGATTATCTGGAGAATGGAACAATATGATTTAAAATTCACCTACACATGTCACCCAAACAAGGAAAAGAATGGAGCACAGCAATCACTTGATACATGTAGCCTCGATGGCAAGAAATCAAAGGATGGATGAAGCACCAACAGTCCCTTAATCTGGATCCTAGCCCATTTACAGCAGCACTAAAAAACAAAATGTCAAGGAATAATCTTTTAAACAAACATGCAACTTCTGTACTAAAAAATACAGAACATTACTGAGAGAAAGAAAAGAAGACCCTAATGAATGCAAGAAATATACCATGTTCATGGATAGGAAGACCAACATTATTAAGATGTCAGTGTTCTCTATGTTGGCTTAAAGTGATCCCAGTCATATACATATAAATAAATAAATATATATGTATATATAATATACGTGTATGTATATATAAGGATATATAATATATATAATATGTATACATTGATGAGTTGATTCTAAAATTTATATGGAAATGTAAAGGGCCTAGAATAGCCCAAAAATAGTGTAAAAAAAAAAAAACACAGTAGGAAAATAAGGCTTTGACTTTTTTTTTTCTTCAGACTGTACTATTAAGTTAGGAAAATCAAGACAGTGTGTTATGGAATAGGATAGAGTCTATAAATAGACCACATAGATGCTGTCAGTAGAGTTTAAGTTTGTTCCACTGGGAAAGAAAATACTTTTTAGCTAGTATTGGTAGAACAAAAAAATGAACCTTGACTCCATCACATGCACAAAATAGTCTGAGATGAATCATAAACCTGAAAGTGAAAATGGAAACTAAGACTTCTACAACTATGGAGTTCAGTGTGGTAGCTGCTAGCCACACAGGGCTACTGAGACTTAAAAAGTGCTACATTTAGTAAGCAAAAGAAGAATATAAGGCACCCATTAATAATTTTAATATTGGCACCAAGTCAAAATGATACTTGAGCATATTTGGCTAATAATATACTATTAAAAGTAATTTCATTTGTCTCGTTTTACTTTTTGTTGTGGCTACTAAAACATTCCAGATTACATATTAGATTGCATTGTAGCTAGAGAGTGTTCTATGCAGGAAAACTTAGAGACATCTCTGGGCATGCAGTGATTTCTTAGAGAATATCAGAAATATTAAGTGTAAGAGAAATGTGTGTATAAATTAGATACCATCAATGTCTTAGTCACTTTCTTGTCGCTGGGACAAAATTCTCTACATCCACAACTTAAAGCAGCAGAGGTTTATTTTGGCTCCCAATTTTTAGGGAATTCAGCCCATAGTCACTTGGCACCGAGGTAGGAAGGGAATGGTGGAAGGGTCAGGTGGAGGAAAACTGCTCACATCAGGGGCTAGGAAGTAGAGAGTGAAGGGAGAAGCCAAAGAGAAAGATATGTCCTCGCAAGTCCCACCCCTTGTGACCTGCCTCTTGTGACCAGACCCCACTTCCTAACAGCACATTCAGCTCTGAATTCTCCAGCAGATGAATCCACTGATAAGTAGTATACACTCCCATGATCCAATCACCTTCCAAAAGCGCCCCCCATGAGCACATGAGCCGTTTGGGGGACATTGTAGATCTAAACCATAACACCTGGCTTCTCCTTAATTTAACAGTAGTTTTTTAAACTAAAGATTATTTGTTGATTTGTTTCCCCCCAAATTAAAAAATATCTTTTGCTTTTTAATTGAGGCAAAATTTACCCACAATGAAATGCACAGCTCTTAAGCATGCACACTGTTCAATGAGTTTTGCCAAATGTGTACACCTGTGTATCCAATGCCCTCATAGAGGACGTAGACATTTGTGTCACTCCCAGAAGGTCCTGGTGCCAATTCCCAACAAATCTCCAATCTGAGAAACACCATTTTCTGATTTCTAGCCAGAGAGATTGGGAGAAGGAGGTTGATTTATTGATTCAGCCTGGCCTCTCCAATCTGGTCCTTATCCTGTCCCAGATCACCCTCCTGTGTCACTCAGCCTCCAGTCCACCCTCATGTGACCTTTATATGGATCTTGATAAAGCCCAGGTTGTGACCCTGCTCTTCTCTACTCAAGTACCTTCTATGTTCTGCCTGCATTGTCACAGTAAAGTACCAAACTCTGAGCATGACTGAGATACTCTCAGCGAGAACTGGTCTTTATGACTCACCAAGCCTCCCTTACCGCTACACATACTGCATCCCATCTCCCAGTGCACTTCATCATTGATGCATTCGCTTATGCATCAGAAGACCCGACTTCCATGCCTGTGGCCCAGCTGTAAGTGCAGCTCTCTTGATGTTCTGCACTCCTTTCTCACTCTGGCTTAGCACGGGCTGTTTCTGTTCCTGACACACTGAGCCCTGCTCCATCCTCTCCATCTGCATCATCCCACAGACTCACATCCACCCCTGGTCCTTTCACAACCCTGCATCTCCCCAGAGGCTGCTGTGACCACCTCCCCACTTCCCAGATGGTCTCTGCCCAGCCGGGCTGGAGAGGCCAGAGAGTCAGTCCTTATGGCTGTATGCTGGCTTTAGTTTGTTAGCTACATATTGATATCATTTTTATATTTGTTTATATCATTTTTTCCTGGTAATCCATACAATAAACAACACGGGCTCACTGTTGGGATAACTGAGAAATGCAGAAAAGCAGAACAAAGACAAGATGTAAAGCACTTTAATGTGCATCTCGTTTCCATTTCGTCTGTTTCTCCTGTACCCAGTCTTTCCATTGTGATTGTGCTGTGTTTTGTTTTACAACCAGCTACTCTTTCCCTCAACAGTGTATAAGGGGTACTCAAAATATATGGTGAATGTTTAAATTAAAAAATGGATGACAGAAAGAGACACATTGCTATTAATGTCCCTCAAAATACTCCCCTTCACTTCAAGCACATTTATAATGGATCTTGCCCCTCTCTGAAGTAGTTCTAGATGTTTGTGAGTGTCTTTACAAGGTGGGATCAAAAATACAGTAAATGCAGCTGAAAAGGCAGGCTCATAAAGCCATTACTGTGTGTCCTCATCCACCTGATTCACCAGATCTAGCACTGGGCAACTTCTGGCTCTTCCCTTATGTCAACATGACCATGGAAGTGAACATTTTGAACTGATTTAGAACACTGGGGCAGTGACAACAACCCAACCAAGGACACTCACAAAAGAGGATTTCCAGAACTGCTTCAGAAAAGGATAACTACCATGGGGTAAGTGTGTTCAAAGTATTTTGAGTGGAATTATGGCAATGTGTCTTTTCTGTAACAACTTTTAAAATTTAACCACTCACAATATATTTTGATCACTTCTAATATTTCCCCACATCGTTAAATATTCTTCCCCAGGGCCATTGGCCAAAGGCATGTATTATAGATCCAAATCAAACTTTATACTGTCACGTGCCACAGGAGGATATTTCTCATAATGATAAACCACATAGAAGACGGCAATCCCATAAGATTGTAATGGAGCTAGGAAATTCCTATCTCCTAGTGACATTGTGGCCATCATGGTGTCCTAGAACACACATTACCCATCTTCATGATGATGCTGGGGTAAACAAGCCTACTTTGCTACCAGTCCCATAAAACAATAGGACACACAACAGTGTACAGTGCAGGAGACTTAATGACGATGATACCAAATGATTATGTTACTAGCTCATGTATTACTACACTGAGCTTTTAATCATTATTTTAGAGTGTGCTTCTACTTAGTAAAAAAAAAAAAGAATTGCACATGGCTCTGTCCCAGCACTCCGGGACACTGAGGCAGGAGGATTGCAAATTAAAGGCCAGCCTGGGCAACTTAGTGAGACACTGTCTCAAAATTTAAAAATAAAAGAGGGCTGTGGATGTAGCTCTGTGTAAAGGCTATGGGTTTGATCCTCAGTACCCCCCTCCAACACCAACACTTTACTATGAAGCAGAGTCTTGTGCTGGCGGGAACACCACACATCTCATGCTTACTCTGCCTCCTGATTGCATCATTTCCTTTATGGCTGATGTAATTTCCTGTTTTGTTCATTCTGGCTCTGGGACCAATAGGCCCTTACCTTGTAAACCCGGTGTGCAGTGGGCTGTGCCATCCGTGTTGGTGTAAATCCCTTTAATGATGTTCTCACAGTGACAGAACTGCTCAAAGACACATTTCTCAAACCCAACTTGGAACATTGCATGACTCTTTGTGGATGGACAACTAGGAGTGGGTGTCCATGGTGGAGACTCTCAAGACTGAGAAAGCAACTACACAGAGGGTCTTCTTGTGGTTATGTTGATTTCTTTTTTTTTTATGTTGATTTCTTAAATCAATACTAGGTAGATCGAGTTATAAACCCCAAACCCAGTTATTCTAAAGCTTTCAAGTTCAACATATCTTGTTTTTGTTCATAGACCTAATAAACTTTGATAATCACAGGTGGACCACATGAATGTCAATAGATAAAAATCCCTTTAAAAGTCCGTGACATTTACAAACACAGTTAACTAAGTTCCCATAAACATTTTACAATGTATTTATAGATTTAAAGAAAAACCACTTCACTTACATGAGACCTAACAAAATTTTCCCAGATAGTTAAATTACCCTATAAATCTAATTAATTAAACATATAAATATGGGGACTTGGCTTCTTTTAAACATTCTGATGCTGTTTACTAACTTAATAAGACTCTTATACCACTCAACATAAATCTGCGCACTGGATGTGCTAGCTCGTGTTGATGTTCTAAACTTATTCATGAGGGGGTGTGGCTACAATGGCCCAAGTTCTTCTAAACACCTGTATTACTTCCCTATTGCTGCTGGAACAACTTGCTGTAAACTCAGTGACTAAGAACAACATCATGTATGATCTTCCAGCTCTAGATTTCAGAAGAATACAATGGATCTTTGGGGCTAGCATTAAAGTATTACAGATTTTGTTCCTTCTGGAGGTTCCAGGGGTGATCCCATTTCCTTGTTGTTCCTAGCTTTGAGGGTCACTTTTGTTGCTGTGGCCCCACATCACTCCAACCTTTGCTTCCGTGGTCACCTTCCCTTCTTTGACTCTGACTCTCCTGCCTCTTAAGGACCTTTGTGTCTACACCTAGCTTGTGTAGACCTGAGAAGCCTTATTGTGTAGGACTGTGTTCAGTTGAAAGTAACCAACAATAGTAAGTGAAATGTCCTATAGAGTGAGACTGATGTCTCTCTCCTATAGAGTCTGGTGGCATGAAGGTGAGCTCAACAACTCAACAGCTCAATAGCATCATGACTGTGAGGAACCCAGGTTCCCTCCACGTTGTTGCTCTGTGACTCTCGTGGCTCCTAACTCATGATCCAAGATGGCTGCTTTCGTTCCATCACCGTGTCCATGGTCTGACAGCAAGAAGTAGGAGGTATGGGAAAGATTCCCTGGAGTCAAGGACAGTTCCTGAGAATGGATCATAGCACTTCTGTTTATATCTCATTCACCAAAATGTAATCATGGAGCAACAGGAGAAGCTGGATATTGGGGGTGGTGGGCAACAGCTACCTCTGCCACAGAGAGCATCTTACACATCTGTTTGGCAACACCCAAGCTGGAGCATTCCTTTTAGAGAGCCTTGCAGCAAATCATTACAAAAACATTGGTGCCTTATATCCAGACTGTGCATGGCCAATAACACTTGGTCTGAACAATTAGGACTAGGATGGCAGAACTGGTTTCATCCACAGCTCATGGCATGAACTGAGCATTTTATGCCTGACACTCTCATGAGGACCCTGCTCCCAGTAGATGAGTGCAGACTTGGAAGGTCTCCGGCTTTGGAGACCCATTCTCCTTCCCTCCAGCAGACCCCAGATGTGAGTCTGGCCTACCCCAACTTGGATCTTGCACAACCTGGAGGATCTTATCTGAAACTCTGTCTCTTCAGTCAGGAGAGGCAGCATCTAGTGCTCATCTAGGGGCAGACAGCTGCCAGGGGAACAGCCCCGAGGGGCCTGATTCCTCTCTGAAGTCAGCTTTTTCTACCTTCTTGTCAAGTGAGCAAAACGTCACAGCCCCTCCTAAGTCAAAGTTCTGTCCTGTGCATCTAGATTGGATGCTAATGAACAATTGGTCCTCCATGTTGATCAGTTTCAGACACCACAGGAGGGTGAACCTGGTGCCCCTGGGGAGCTGTACATGGTGGGGTTCTGACAGCCTCCAGCAAATGCATCGCACCACCAGGGGGAGCCATGGAGTTGGTGTCCATCCTCCTGGGGACAAGGGTAGGAATCCCACAGAGGAGGGGAGAGGCAGGAGCCCTCGATCAGCTTCCAGAAAAGTAGAGTGTGGTACAGGACAGTAATAATAACATTAGAGTAGCAGTAACTTTACTAATAAAAACATTGATAAGAATACCTACGTCCGGTAGCTATTATTCCTCCTTAGTGAGGTTGTGAATCTCCAGATAGGCCCGTTTCTGGTGACAGGGTCAAAGCCAGGCGTCAGGAGGCATTTGGTGGTGAGAGGATGGGCTGGGGCAGGTGCTGTGAGCCCTGTAGCCCAGGGTGGGCAGCAGAGGGATGGAATGGCTGGATACAGAGTGGTAAGGGGCATCGCCTGGACTGCACTGCAGAAGGAAAATTGCCTGATTTCTGTGTGCCTCAGTGGCCTCGCCTGCAAAGTAGGCATCATGGCTCCTACCTTTATGAACTTTTTATTTTTAACAGAGAAAAAGCTTTATTTAGAAAATTAGAGGGAAGATAGGGAAGGACTCCCTTTTAGGTCACTGGAGGGGGTGATATCTGGTACAGGAGTTCAGACAGGCAAAGATGGGAGGCCGGCTTCCAAGGATCAGCTGGTGGTGGGGTCCGGGTGATCATTACCTCAGTTCTGGTCTCTGGTCTCAGTTCTGGAATCCTCATGGCTGAGGGATCGCTCCATTTCCAGAAGAGAACGGGCTCTGTCTGGTGGTCTCAGCCGTGTGTGGGCTCCACCTTTCCTGGAATCCAGATGATCACAGACTTAGGACAACAACTGGAGGCTTCAGGTGTAGCTGAATGTCCCTATAAACCTCTTATCTCGGTGTCCTTAGTCTCGAAGGGGGATGAGAGCCTATGACTTCAGGACTGATCAACCCGTCCAGCCAGCTCTTTTGCAGACCCTCCCTAGGGATCAAAACAGCCCTACTCAGAGCTGAGGGTGGATTTGACTCCATATTTACAGGAACAAAGAACACAAAATGAAGGTCAGGCTTGGCTTTGCCTTTGGCCCTCTGCACCTGGAGCCTCCACAGAGGCAGCCGTCCGGAGTCCAAGCCGGAGGGAGGTGATGGAAGTCAGCGAACCCCACCCTGCCCCACAGCCCGGGAGGGGCCCCAGAGTCTTCCCAGGAAATCACCTGGGTAGGAAGGAGCATCTCCTCCGGGCGTGCTGGGGCGCAGTCGAGGTCGGCTGGTCAGGCTCCAGACCCTTTGCTGGAGGAGTGGGTGACACGCTTTCATTCATTCCTTCAACACAGTTCACGAAGCACCTACTGTGTGCCTGGCGTTGTTCCAGACGCCCAGCTCCCTCTGTGATCAGAGTGTGCGAAACAGCTCTCTTCAAGATGTTACACTGCTGTAGAGGACACGACAGTGGGTGACTGGTGAGTCGGAGATGAAGGCTGGGATCTTTAAGGAGCCTAACTGGACAGAGGCCACAGAGGAGCACCGTGCCACTCTCCCTGGTCTCACTGAACCCACTTCCTGTCCGCCTTACCAGTACTCGGCTGTGCATTCGCTTACCTGCACCTCCACCATTCAGTTCCATGCCAGGACCTCTGTGGACATCAAACCTCTCAGCCTCATCGCAATCATCCTGTGTCTGATTCCAGCTCTGCAGACAGGGACAAGAAACCTCTTCCCTTGAGAGTTTGTGGGTGGTAAAGGCAGCGGCACGGTAAACGCCCCTCTGGCGCTGGTGTGGAGTGTGAGCTCCGTGCTTTCTGGATTCCCCTCCTGGCCGTTTCCTGAGGTTGGATGCAGGGCTCTGGGTCACAGCATAGCCGGTGCCTCTCTCCTGCTCAGTGCTGTTCTGTGGCCCCAGCCTGGCATCCTGAGCCCTGCCAGCCTCTCCAGATTCTATTCTGGTCACCTCATCGCTGTGCACAACCTACCCCATTTTCCCTGCTTCTGGGGCTCCCATCTCCTGGGCTCAGCCCATCTGACTCATGCACCTGCTCTAGGACTGACCCTGCCTCTCCTCTGCCAGAAACCCATGCATGGTTTTAGATCCTATGCATCACTGGCAAATCACCCTGGCATGCGAGCCCCTTTCTGATCTCACCTCTGTCTCTTGGTTCCTTTGCATCTGTCGATACGTTGTCCCCTCCAGACATCCTGAGCCTTTAATTCCCTTAATCCACTTGGGATGATACATCAGCACCCTCTGAAACTCCAGTATATTCTTTGGGGTTATCCAGATAAACAGAACAAATGGGATACAGAGACATATGTAGGAGACTTGTTACGAGGAACTCATTCACACAATGGGAAACTGAGAAGTCCCACAAACTGCTGTCTACAAGCTGGAGGCCAGAGAGCCGCTGGTGAAATCTCCAACCCAGACCCCAAGGCCTAAGGACCAGGAAGACCGATGGTGAAAGTCCCAGTTCGAGTCTGGAGGGCTCAAGGATGAAGACATCTGATGTCAGAGCAGGAGAAGAGTGACTCATATCACTCAGAGACAGCAAATCTGCTCTTCTGTATCTTTTTAGTCTACTAAGGCCCTGGACGGATTGGGTAGCTCCTACCCTTCTTGACTCCTCTTGACTGAGTCCGCCCATTCAACCACCGATCTTGTCCAGAAACATCCTCACAGACATACCCGGAAGTAATGCTTTGTCATGGTCCGGGAACCTCAGCCCAGGTGTGTTGACATAAAATTACCCATCACCCCCAGGCTGCCACTTCTTCCTGGCGCCAGCCCTTTCCTGGCTGTCAATGCCCAGCTCGAGAGTAACATTTGCACCCTGAGGACAGAGTGAGGCAGTGACACCTCATCTCCTTGTGGAGGACAGAGCGATGCATGGCAGCTTCTATGACTGGTGAGGCCCCTGTACCTCCTTCACCGAGGGCACCTCCTCACTGCTGTCACTGGGAAACAGACAGGAAAGCCCTCCAAGTGCTAATCTTTCATAAAGCCACTAATCCCACTCCTGAGGGCTCCACTTCATGGCCTGATCTCCTCCCAAAGGCCCCAGCTCTTAACAGCATGGCCTTGGGGTCAGGGAATCCGTGTAAGACTTTGGGGAGTACCAAACATGCAGGTCATTGCAGGCATCACACGCAGAGGTGTGACCCTCCTCGGGTGGCAGGGTGACTGCGGGAGAGGGCCGGAATGAATGCAGGAGGAATGAGCACCTCCAGTGGTGGGCACAAGAGGCCCGCTCACCTCTTATGGCCCCAGGGTCACACACACTGGCTGGCTGTAGGGTCAGCGGCAGCTCTTCTGACCTGGCCATTGTGGACCCATGGAGCTGGAGGACTCTTTCATGGGGGGTTGTCCTGGGCCTTGTGGGGTGCTCAGCTGTAACCTGCCCTCTGCCCACATTGGGCTGTATGCAGGTAAAATCAGTCCAGTCACCGAGAAATGTCCATGAGAGGCGAAAGTGCACCCAATTGAGAAACAGAGTTCACGACGACACTGCGACTTCCTCATGCTGGTCCAGTTAGGCCACTTCCCGGAGCAACCAAAGGCCACTTGCAGCCCCTTAGCCTGGGCAGAAGCACCATGAGAGCCTGGTGCCACCATCTCTCGTGCCTTGGAGTACCTCAGAGGTCCCCGTCAGGCCCTGTGAAGACAGGGCGGGCATCCTTGAGGCCCCAAAGGCCCGTTGGACAAGATATAAGTTTCTGTCCGGACCCAGGTACGGAAGGGAAGTGCCCGAGATGGCAGCAGGATGTGGTGTCTGCTCCTCCTCTGCCCTCTCTGAGCGGCCTCCGGGCACTGGTCACAGGGCTTCTGTCCAGCTGCAAAGAGGAACGACTCTGACCACGTGATCATCGGAGTTCCTGTTCCCTGCAGAATTGAGGTCTCCTGCTCCGCTCAGCGTCCCAGGGTCCCACGGGGCTTCCCACGCCTCTCCGCCCTCTTGTGCTCACTCACAGGCGCCCAGGAGCCGCTGCATGAGACATGCTGCCGCCTCTGCTGCTGCCCCTGCTGTGGGCAGGTGAGTGGGTGCAGGGAGAGGGCCGGGGGTCTGGGCTGCGCTGAGTCTTGTTTCCCCACAGGGTCTCTGGCTCAGTATCCGAGATACAGGCTGCGCATGCCAAAGTCAGTGTTGGTGCCAGAGGGTCTGTGCGTCCTCGTGCCCTGCCAGTTCCACTACTACTTTGGCCTCAAGTCTGGCTCTGTGTCCGGCTCCTGGTTCCGGGAGGGCTCTGAATCTCTCCGGGACTTGCCAGTGGCCACAAACAACCCACAACAGCAAGTGCGGGAGGAGACTCGGGGCCGGTTCAGCCTCCTCTGGGACCCACAGACCAGGAACTGCTCCCTGCACATCAGGGATGCACGGAGAGGCGACAGCGGTTCATACTTCTTTTACATGCACCCAGAAAGCTCCAGGAGGAATTTCTATTGGAACCAGGTCACTGTGTACGTCGCAGGTGAGACCCTAGCTCCAGTTCGGCCACTGCAGAAGGTAACGGTGGCCACAGGGTAGGGCTGAGGTGGAGTCCCGTCCTGGGAGAGGTTCGGGGTCGAGCGCTGAGAGCCGAGGGAGGAGCTGGGTCAGAGCTGGAGCTTCCCTCAGGGCTGCACTCCGGGGCCTCGCTGATGATCCTGGGATCCCCTCTGCTCACCAGCCCTGAATCACACACCGGACGTCTTCATGCCGGGGACTCTGGAGTCCGGCCGCCCCAGCAACCTGACCTGCTCTGTGCCCTGGGCCTGTGAGCAGGGGACGCCCCCCATTTTCTCCTGGGCGGGCGCCTCTGTATCCCACCTGGACCCCGCTGTCACCAGCTCCCCCGTGCTCACCCTCAGCCCCCGGCCCCAGGACCATGGCACAGCTCTCACCTGTCAGGTGATGCTCCCTGGAGCCGGTGTGACTGTGGAGAGGACTGTGCGGCTCAACGTCACCGGTGAGAACGGGGCCCGGCTGCCTATGCCCCAAGGGTGTGAGGGACAGCAGGGCCAGGCCTGGGACTCACGGTGGCCGGGTGCTAGGTGCCTGGTTGAGTTGGGGGCACCAGTGCTGTCCTTCTGTGTGTCTGTGATCTCTGGGTTGATGCTGGGGAGTGCTGTCAAGTGACAAGGGACAACCCCTGTCTTCCTGCCCCAGATTCTGCCAGGAGCCCCACAGCTGGTGTCTCCCTGGGAGCCGGCTCAGGTAGGGAAGGGCGTCCTTGGGCTGGAGGGGAGGCCAGCACCAGGTCTCTGCTCGCCTTGGACACCACCTGGTGACTGAGGTCCCTGGTTGAGGAACCTTGGTCCCTCCCCATACACAGCTCCTCCACCACCGTGAGTTCCTGTTCTGCTCCTCACCCTCTCCTGTCCCTGGGCCACCCACTGCCTGCATAAGGCAGATCCTCGCTCAGGCAGCACCCGCAGCCTTGCTCTCGCCCATTTTGGGCATCCAGCTCTACCCTCCTCTTTTGCTTCCCCTCGGAGCTCTGTTCTAAGTACTCGTTGAAGGAAATACAGGCACACAGGGCCGTACACTCAGAACACACACGAAGACCCCACCGTCAGTCCCCAGAAACTCTCCCCACAAGTGACCAGTGTCCACACGGGCTGTGCTGAGCCTTGCTCTGTCCACCTGAGACCCAGAGGGCACAGGTGTTGGGAGCACAGGGGATCCTGTCTCTGTTCCCGTGATCCCACTGCACGCACGGAGCTGATTCTGCGGGCGTCTTCGGTCGGCGCACAGTCATGACCAAACACTCTGCACTCTGCCCACAAAATAGTTTTGCATCTGCTTCCACAAATGTGTCTGGAGGTGGGCGGGAAATTCCTGAAAACAATCTGGCTCGTCATAGTTCTTTCTCTTTCTGGTTTTTCCCAAAGGGCGGACCATTTACATTTCCCACAGTGAGGGCTGAGGCTGTGTTTTCATCCACTGAGTGCACCAACGCCTCTCTGTTAGATTGGTTTTTGGGTTTTGGTGCCGAGGACTGGACCTGGGGCTGAGCATGAAGGTTCCCTCCCAGCCTCACTTCCCACCCTCAGAGGGAGCCTTTGGATCTATGCCAGCGTTGAGTAACACTTGCTGTCCTCACTACAAGTTTACAAGTTCATATCCATATGCTTTTGAGATAGCATTCACTAGCATTAAATTCAGCACTGCTTTCACATACGCAACAACCTGAGCATTCCCAAAGATGTGTGACGCTCGCAACTATGAAATTCAGGACTTTTCATCAGCTGCAGACAAAGCTCCTGCATGCACAAAGCAGCGGCTCCACCTTCTTCACCCCTGAGGAACACCAGCCCCCGTGTCTCAGTGGCGTTGCCTACACCGGACATAGCACAGAAGCGGAATCATCCACACTGCAGCCTTATGTGTCTGGCTGCTTCGTGTAACACTGTGCTTGTTAAGGTTCGCCCATGTACTGGGGGTTTGTAGCTCATTCCTTTTCAGACTCAGTGACACCCCATTGCATGCATAGACCTCGTTTTGCTCATCCATTTATCAGGTGACGAACCCTAGGCTTGTTTGTACTTTTGGACTGTTGTCGATGATGCTCCTAGGAACATGGGGGTAAACGTTTTGTCTGAGCAGATTGTTTCATTTCCCCTGGGCACATAACTACCAGCAGAATTAGGAAGAGTCCTGCAGTACAGAGTGTAAGGTTTTGAGGAAATGCGGAATTGTCCTGCAGTACAGAGTGTAAGGTTTTGAGGAAATGCGGAATTGTCCTGCAGTGTTGGCCTCACGCTGTGTTCCCACCAACCATGTTCAAGAGGTGTAGCATTGCATTCAAAAGCTCCCCACATTCTTCCCAACACAACTGCTCACCTTTTCACCAAAACAGTGCCCTGCCAGTGGGTATGAGGGGTCATCTCCTTGCCATTTTGCTTAGCAGTAAGCTAAAAACTAAGGATGATGGCAATCTCTTCATGCAGTTATGGGCCATTTGTAGATCTTCAGAGACATATTTTTCGAGTTCTCTGTGCATGTACTATTGGGTCATAGAGGTGCCTTGCAGTTTGGTCTGTGGGGTCCTCTCTGCTTGCTGGAGAGCAGACCTTTATCACATCACACTGCAGGGCACTTTCTCCACTTCTTCAAATACTTGCAGATATCTCCTCCAGTTCCACAGAGTCGCCTTTTCACTGTCTTCATATCATCTATTAATAAACAAAGGTTGACCTTTTTTTATAAAAGGAAAATTACGTTTTCTCTGTGCAACTGCAGAAGAGTTGGAGCGTGTGGTGCAGAGGCCCAGACTGATGTGGCCTCTTCCTCAGAGATGAAGGGAGGTGTGCAGGGTCCATATCCAAGTTCTACGTGACAGGAGGGACTGGGGTTCTGTTTTGGCTGAAGAATCCAGCCTCACCCACTTTCCCGCAGGGAAACCAGGCCCCGTGGCCGAGGTGGTGCTGGTGACCATTGTAGAGGTGGCTGTCAAGGTCCTGCTCCTCGGGCTCTGCCTCATCTTCCTCAGGTGAGCGCTGCCCAGGGGTGGAGAGGAGGCGTGGGGGGGCAGCCTGACCCCACTGAACCCCAGGCTCCCACGGCTGGGACCCTCAAAGGGACCAGGAAATCTGGGGTCAGTGGCTGCATGGGTGGTGAGAACTCGACAGGGAACAAGTCTCTCTCCAGTTCTGCCCCAGCGTGGAGGCTGATCCATCACGGAGCTCTAGGAATTGGCCCTCCCTCTCCCTCCCCCTC